TGCATGGCATTTAGGCTGTTTAGAACTTTAGAACTTCAAGCTAAAACACTCAGGTGTGAAACGGGCCTAGGGTTTTAAACCGCTACACAAACTGCTTATCACTCAGGTTTCAGCAATTGAACCGATATATAGTAAATATGTTTATATAGCTAATTTTCTCCTAGTAATAAGTCTTGATCTGGGGTGCGATTTTATTTTCTTTAGTTAAGGTTGTCTTTTCCATCACTTGAATCTTCCTGGATGCTAAATTTCCTGTTAGGGTATTCCTAAATACATTGTGCATAACTGAGAGCTGGAGATTGATCTCCAAGTTTTGTTATAATATAATCCACTTCTTGCTTCTCTGATAATTGTTTAAATAAGATTTGGATGCATTGGTAAAGATAGAATTAATCTTTACGATGCTACTCTTGTGCATTTTGTTTAGATTCTAGGAGATTTTGATCTATTTTTTGCAATATGTTTGCTGTTGGATTCTTGTGCACCACAAATTTCCAAACAGTTTAACAGAATCCCATTTTGATTAACCAAACAAAATTAAATATTAGAAAAAGGATACCAAGCTATAGCATTGTTTTGTTTTCCAAGCTGAAACAATTTGTTCTCTTATTAGGAAACAACCCAGATCTTAGGAAAGTTCACCTCTCATTGAGCAAACAATGGGATTTTTAGAATCTTCGAAGATTGACAAGTCACTTTTAAGGGCTTGTTTACACTTCGACTTTAACACATATTAAAGCTCCTACGTCTTCAACATGCTTTTTTGCCATGTTTTTGATGCTTTTTTTTTTTTTTTTTTAAGCTTAAGGCTCTATGCACATTGGCTTAAAAAACTGCCAGTGCTCTTGGCAGAAAAATACTATTTTTTTTTATTTTTTTTTCTGTACTGGCCTTTAGAGTTTTTTTTTCTGCCAGAAAAACACTACTAAAAATGCTAAACAGAAGGATTTTTTCTGCCATTAAATGCTTAACTTAAAAGGCTTTGTAGACACTTTGAAGCACCAAAAAAGCAACATAAGATATAATTTTTGAAGCAAAGCAAACACAAGTGTGCAAACAGTACCGTAAAAAAAAAAATATATAAAACAGCGCAAATCAAGCAAACCTTATTCAATATATGATATTATAAATCAAAAAAATATTGTGACACAACCAATTTAATATAGTGTCCAAAAATTTGAATACATTATGTCCACAAAAAATATTTTGCAAAAGTCCTTTCATCCCAGAAAGAATTATCTAAATAAATTGTGGACACAATTTATTCAAATTTTTGGACACTATATTAAATTGGTTATTTCACAATATTTTTTCGATTTATAATTTATATTGAATGAGAAGGTTTGTTTGATTTGCGCTGTTTATATATTTTTTGCTATGTTGGTGTATTACACTGGTGTACAGCAGCAAATTCTCACTTAGAATATATATTGAAAGGGTTTTCTTGTGCACTGGGGTTTTGTGATATAATTATGAACAGTACTGTAAGGTAACTGTTTTATTTAGTGACAGGTGCTTTGATTGGCATTCAGAGCGCTTTTACATAAACGCGTCCAATGCCACATTTTGAAGCAAGTGTAAATAAGACTTAAGGACATAGTTAACTTTGCTTTGTTTTGGAGGTATTGGAGATATGAGAGATTCCAGGATGCACTGGGAAAAGATGCAAACTGAGAAGACGTCATCAGCACTCACTTCTGCTTCATGTATGAATGTACATATTCTGGAAATGTTCGGTGCAGATGTCACATCTAGTGTGCAAGGTGGAGCAACAAGAAGGTGATTGGGGACCAAACCAGAGCAACTAGCATATGGCACACTTGGTTCTCAATATGGGAATTCTATAGTGGAAGGTGAGCGGGAATGGAAAGAGGACTGAGTGGTGGGGGATCAGCAGAGCTGGCAGACCGGAGTGGGAGAAACTTGCAGGCATCGCAGGCAGATGGGAGCAATATAGTAGAAGGTGAGCAGGGACTGAAGAGAGAGAATGATCATCAGAGCTGGGGGTCAACAATGATGGAGGATCATCAGAGCTGGGGGTCAGCAATGATGGAGGATCAGCAGAGCTGGGGGTCATCACTGATGGAGGATCAGCAGAGCCGGGGATACTACAGAGTGAGGCATCAGCAGAGCTGGGGGTACTACTGAGAGGGGATCTGCTGAATGAGGGTACTAAAGAGCTGGGAAGCTGCTTAACAAGGGCACTTTAATGAGCTGGGGATTTGCTGAGTGAGCAAATTACAGATAGGGGTCCAACTAAGCCCCTTTAAAAGAGAAAATCAGCACACACTCACAGGCAATATTCATTAAGGATTCAAAAAAGCATCACAGAAGTGTTACAAATGCATCAAAAATGCATGTTGAAGTGTTAGAAGCTTTAATGCGTATTAAAATCAAAGCAAGTATAATCAAGCCTTTTGAGGCCTGTTTCACATGGACGTCAGCTTGCATAAAAGCAGTGTGAACAGCAAACTTTGACAAAGCATTTGCAGATCTTTTAGCAAGCTTTGGTAAGGCTTTTAAATTGTCATTCGACTCCAGTTTGTAAATTTTGAACACAGATTATAATGGGACCTTTGATTGCCACTTTAAGCCAGCTGCTAGCAGGCTTCAAACAAGTGCTGAACCCTGCTAGCAGCTTGCTTTAAAGTGGCAATCAACACTCCCATTATACTTTTATATTTACAAATTGGAGCTAAATGTTACTTCAAAAGCTCAAAGCTTGCTGAAAGCTCTGCAAATGCTTTATCAAAGCTTGCTGTCACACTGCTCTTCTACAAGCTGAAGCCTGTATGAAACTGGTGTAAAGGAACTATGAAGATTTTAGTGTGAATATACAGTGATCATTTGAGATTGACATAGTTCATATTGAGGTAGTTTTGTATCATTTTACTGATTGTTTTATAGAGTGCAAGCAGCACAACACCCATTTAAGCTAATTTACATATGCAAACAAATGTATAGCGCTCATTAATGCCCCTAAAGCGTTGACATAGCAAACGTTTAGAAAGCCTTTCTGCTTCGTTTATCACTCGTTAAAAAAAATCTCGGTCCAGATTCTCCCTCTGTGCTGTGTTGGGAAGTGAATAGGAAGTAATGTAGGTTGTAGGTGTTGTTAATATCTGCTGGTGTCTTTGCTTCCTCTGCATTGCATTCACAATGGATTCCTGTACAGTCCTCTCACTGATGCTTGCCTTGAGCCATCTGAAATTAATTGACCAACTGGCCCAGCAGAAAAAGAAGAGGGTTCGTAGGTACTGGGTGCATCCTATGGTCTCCCAGAGGTTTTCGAAAGGTCACTTTCACACCCTATACCAAGAACTGTATACATACTCAAAGTTCTGAGTACACACGAATGAGGATGCCCTACTGGTGATCATTCAACCACGACTGATGTATTGCACAACTGATATGTTTTCCTGTGTCTCCAGAAGAACCCCTCCTTGTAACTTTACCATGTGTAAACTTTTAATGCCCTGGATTGACAGATATTATGTCGATTAGCAGAAGCATGTCCAAAGCTTTTTTGCACATCCACTTTGGGTCACATTGGTGCACAGTTCTGCTTTCTGACACTGAACAATATGGTAGTGTGACAAGAGCACCCCTACCTGAAAAAAAGAAGGTTACTAAGAGATCCACGCGGAGTAATATGGATTCAAAAATTACAGGCAATACTTTATTTGATCACATAGATCATAAGGAGGTTAAACATGAGCACGGTGAACATGTCAAGCAAATAAAATCATTTTAAAAGCACTTAGCGTCTTCATATCAGGGTCATTAGGCAAGTAGAGTACCATATAAGGCAGTCTGCGGTGATTGGCGGACGAAACGCGTCAACGTAATGACGTCACTACGCTCGGGCGTCTTCATAGGGTGCGGCGCCCACGAGGTGGGAAGGAACGGCGGTGTCACAGCTCCTTGCTAGGAAGGCACGAGGCCCCCTGGAAACTACCACAAAGTCGTCTACTACAGCGGTTCGCAAACGGCAATCCCCTAGGGCAGTGATGGCGAACCTTTTTGAGCCCGAGTGCCCAAACTGCAACCCAAAACCAACTTATTTCTTTCAAAGTGCCAACACTGCAATGAAACCTGAATATCGAGCTTTTGGTTTAGAAAAAACAACTCGTACAGTAGTGCAAACTAATTAACAGTACAGGGATGACCAGAGACTGCGGACACAGTACAGGGATGACCAGAACTGCGGACAGTACAGGGATGACCAGAGACTGCGGACACAGTACAGGGATGACCAGAACTGCAGACAGTACAGGGATGACCAGAGACTGCGGACACAGTACAGGGATGACCAGAGACTGCGGACACAGTACAGGGATGACCAGAGACTGCGGACACAGTACAGGGATGACCAGAGACTGCGGACACAGTACAGGGATGACCAGAGACTGCGGACACAGTACAGGGATGAACAGAGACTGCGGACACAGTACAGGAGATGACCAGAGACTGCGGACAGTACAGGGATGACCAGAGACTGCGGACAGTACAGGGATGACCAGAGACTGCGGACACAGTACAGGGATGACCAGAGACTGCGGACACAGTACAGGGATGACCAGAGACTGCGGACACAGTACAGGGATGACCAGAGACTGCGGACAGTACAGGGATGACCAGAGACTGCGGACAGTACAGGGATGACCAGAGACTGCGGACAGTACAGGGATGACCAGAGACTGCGGACAGTACAGGGATGACCAGAGACTGCGGACAGTACAGGGATGACCAGAGACTGCGGACAGTACAGGGATGACCAGAGACTGCGGACACAGTACAGGGATAACCAGAGACTGCGGACACAGTACAGGAGATGACCAGAGACTGCGGACAGTACAGGAGATGACCAGAGACTGCGGACAGTACAGGGATGACCAGAGACTGCGGACAGTACAGGGATGACCAGAGACTGCGGACAGTACAGGGATGACCAGAGACTGCGGACAGCACAGGGATGACCAGAGACTGCGGACAGCACAGGGATGACCAGAGACTGCGGACAGCACAGGAGATGACCAGAGACTGCGAACAGCACAGGAGATGACCAGAGACTGCGAACAGCACAGGAGATGACCAGAGACTGCGGACACAGTACAGGGATGACCAGAGACTGCGGACACAGTACAGGGATGACCAGAGACTGCGGACACAGTACAGGGATGACCAGAGACTGCGGACACAGTACAGGGATGACCAGAGACTGCGGACACAGTACAGGGATGACCAGAGACTGCGGACACAGTACAGGAGATGACCAGAGACTGGGGACACAGTACAGGGATGACCAGAGACTGGGGACACAGTACAGGGATGACCAGAGACTGCGGACAGTACAGGGATGACCAGAGACTGCGGACAGCACAGGGATGACCAGAGACTGCGGACAGCACAGGGATGACCAGAGACTGCGGACAGCACAGGGATGACCAGAGACTGCGGACAGCACAGGGATGACCAGAGACTGCGGACAGCACAGGGATGACCAGAGACTGCGGACAGCACAGGGATGACCAGAGACTGCGGACAGCACAGGGATGACCAGAGACTGCGGACAGCACAGGGATGACCAGAGACTGCGGACAGCACAGGGATGACCAGAGACTGCGGACAGCACAGGGATGACCAGAGACTGCGGACAGTACAGAGATGACCAGAGACTGCGGACCTTTGGGGAGGGAGGGGGAGCGGGTACCTGAATTTGACAGGTACCCGCTCTTACTTCCGCAGAGTTTTTTTTTTTTAATCTTACCTGTTCCTCGATCCAGCCGCGCGCTGTCTTTCCGGCTTCTGTAGTGTGGGCGCTCGTCGGACAGCCGGATGCCCAGTGCGCATGCGCGAGAAGCGCTGCGCTTTGTGATTGGTCTGGCGGCTTCTGGGATCTGTCATGTGTCCCAGGTACCGCCTTACCATTCACAAACAGCACTGCTTCTTGTGCATGCGCACTTGGGACCCGGCTGTCACGCACACTACAGCCGGGAAGACAGCGCGCCGCTGGATTCTCCTGGCGTGCCCACAGATAAGGCTCGGCGTGCCGGCTGTGGCACGCGTGCCACGGGTTCGCCATCACTGCCCTAGGGGAATATACCTTCCACCGGTGGCAAGTTATTTAAGCTTACAGCTGTGTAGATTTATAGAGTATATCTGGAGCTAAGAGGGCATGTTATACGGGCCTAATCTACCCTGTATATTCGGGGAATTTTTTGGAAATCCTCTTTAGAGGATAATATATACATATATATACTTATACGCTATCCTACTTAGGCATTGTATGCTGTGACAAAGCCATATCCTATTCAAACCGCTTCAATTTTCTCAGATTGAGTAATTTTTGGAAACCCTTCAGTGGGTATACAGACTCAGGTATTCACGGCCTGCTATATACACAATATATGTGTTTGGAATCTACGTACTGTGACTACCTGGCTCCCCACCCCCATATGCACCTTTGAATAAGCATCAAGGACCTGATCCTATTTCAAGTCGACGGGAGTCCTCTTGATCTTTATTGATGGTAATATACCCATACTTTGTTTTTTGCTTTCAGGGTTTTACTTGATGCCTGTGCTATATACACTAAATTTCTATATATATCCCCAGAATCATTTGGTACTGTGGACTGTGTTTCACTTGGGGTGGCTATCCAGGAAGTCCCCACATTTGAGAAGCGGGTATGACAGTTTCACAACTAAGAAGGTAATGAAGGTGTCCACCACTATTACTGTAGAGGGAGGCTTGGTGAGGCCTGGATGTGATTCAGCTCTTATATTTTCATATATTTTTTGTGTATTTTTGTGTTCCAGCTTCCATACCACAGGAGGCTACTCTACACATCTTGACCTATATTGGGAACATATTTGCTGAATTTATGGTTCACTCTAATACAAGCTGGAAATTCACGGAAACCTAGGATCATAACCCCACCATTACCGCATATTGCCTTATATGGTACTCTACTTGCCTAATGACCCTGATATGAAGACGCTAAGTGCTTTTAAAATGATTTTATTTGCTTGACATGTTCACCGTGCTCATGTTTAACCTCCTTATGATCTATGTGATCAAATAAAGTATTGCCTGTAATTTTTGAATCCATATTACTCCGCGTGGATCTCTTAGTAACCTTCTTTTTTTCAGGTAGGGGTGCTCTTGTCACACTACCATATTGTTCAGTATGCATTTTCTGGGTTTATGGATCCACACTTATATACTAAGTGAGTCGGAGATATGATTATGACACCAGTTATTCGTGTCATTCTAGGTGGCCTGTTTCTGCTCTATTTTTGTGACTGCTTTCTGACACATCTGCGTGACAAGGGACGCTGTTGCTTGGAGTCAGTCATATGGTTGAGACTCTAGATGGATGCTGACTATATTCCTTTATTTGCACAAATTCCTGACCACCAGTTGGCTTGCTCCCAGCCCACCTCTGAGAGCATGAGCTATCTGCTCCTTCTCACTAAACAGTCCTGCTATCCAGTGAGCGCTGTAAGGGCAGAGCACAGAGCTGGTGACTGGGAGTCTCTTCACAACTGAGAATTGAGCAATAAGCAGTCATGTGATTGCTTGTTATGGTGGCATGGGACAAATGCAGTTTGTACCAATGCAGCATCCACCAAGAGGTGTGTTGTTTCATTCCTGTACTTACCTTTTGCCAGTCATGTCTATATTTTAGCAACAACTTTTATTTTATAGGTTTTTGACTATTGTAGAGCCATTTTCATCTCTTCACTTCCATTTCTTATAGGGAAAAGCCACAATACATTTTATTGTTCTCATGACCCATAACCCATGTAAGATGATTTGGGATGAAATGAAAGAAATAGTGATGCCGCTGCCAACTCATTACAGGTGGATGGAAATCGGTGAAGAATTTATAAGGAATTGTAATTTTCCCCACTGCATCAGTGCTTTGGATGGCAAGCACATTAGGATCCAAATGCCATCAAACAGTGGTTCAAAGTTTTATAATTTTGAAAAAGTTTCTGTAGTTTTAATGGCTATATGTGAAAATTACAACTTTGTGTCAATTGATGTTGGGGCAGACGGAAGTTCTGATTCCCAGGTATTCAGAAGATCGGCAATGGGCAAGAGATTCACAACAGTTCACATGAATATTCCAGGTCCGAACCCTTTTAGCCCTAAATTATGTACCCTTACCATATCATGTGTACTGGTTGCGGACAAAGCCTTCCTTCTCACTACATCAATCAAGAAGCCTTTTCCCAAATGAAACCATGAATTGAAGAAAAGAGTTTTCAACTATTGTTTAACTCCCATCTAGGAGATTTGTGGAGTGCACCATTGGCATACTATCTAACAGGTGGAGAATATATAGCAGTTCTATGCAATTTCTTCCAAGCAATGTGGATAATGTCATAAAAAGTACTTGTGCACTCCGCATTTTTATCAGTCAAAGGAAGGGTTACAACTTTGACGACTGTCTTCTTCATGAGATCGCCGACTCTTCTCTGCCTTCAACTCTCTACTCTCTCCACCCCCACCTCCACCCAGCACCTCACTCGCTGCCCTTGAGATTGCCAATCACTTCAAAAACAAGATTGACACAATTCGCAAGGACATTGCCGCAACTTACACACCCTCTCAACCCGTCCCCTCTCACACAGCTACCCCCTTATCCCCCCTCGACATAACCCGCAGGGACTTCGTCGCTGCTCAAACTCTCTCCAACCCCCTTCACCCTCACTCAGCTACCCCCTCATCACCCCTCTCCCACGGCCCCACCACTGCTCTGACCTCCTCTTCCACCCCACCCTTCATTCCTCTACTGAAGCTCCCCCCACACTCCGCACCTTTGACCTTACTACCATCGAGGAAGTCTCCAAGATCCTCTCTGATGCCCACCTCACCACCTGCCCCTCGACCCTATCCCCTCACAACTCCTACGACCTTCCTCCTCCTCCATCCTGCGCTCCCTCACCCACATCTTCAATCTCTCCCTCTCCTCAGGCACTTTCCCCTCCCCTCTGAAACATGCACACATCACCCCCATACTTAAAAAGCCCTCCCTGGACCCCAATGACCCGAACAACCTCAGACCCATCTCCCTGCTCCCATTTACATCTAAACTCCTCGAGCGCCTAGTCTACACCCGCCTATGCTCTCACCTCAGTGACAACCACCTCCTCGATCCCCTACAGTCCGGCTTCCGTCCCCTACACTCCACCGAAACCTCCTTACTCAAACTCTCCAATGACCTGCTAACCACCAAAGCTAATGGCCACTATTCAGTGCTCCTACTCCTTTATCTCTCTGCGGCCTTCGACACAGTCGACCACCCCCTCCTCCTCAAAAAACTACACTCCCTCGGCCTCAGAGATTCTGCTCTCTCCTGGCTCTCATCCTACCTGTCACAACGCTCCTTCAGCGTTACCTATAATGCTACCACCTCCCCCTCACTCCCCCTCTCTGTTGGGGTCCCTCAAGGCTCTGTCCTTGGGCCCCTTCTCTTCTCCATCTACACCTCCTCTCTTGGCCAACTCATACACTCTCACGGCTTCAACTACCACCTCTATGCCGACGACACACAAATCTATCTCTCAACCCCCCACCTCACCCCCTCGGTCTCAGCCCGAATCACACACCTACTGAGCGACATATCAGACTGGATGTTGCTCCACTTCCTTAAACTGAACCTCTCCAAAACAGAGTTTCTTGTTTTCCCCCCAGCCCGGACACCCCCCCCCCCCCATTGATTTCTCCGTCACATCCAACAACGCTACCATCAAACCCGCCCCGCAGGCCAGAGTACTTGGTGTCATTCTGGACTCCAACCTATCCTTTCAACCCCAAGTCCAATCTTTAACAAACTCGTGCAGACTCCACCTCCGCAACATCGCCAAAATCCGCACGTTCCTAACCCCTGAAACCACTAAACAGCTCATCCACTCCCTCCTCATGTCACGACTCGATTACTGCAACTCCCTCCTCACTGGCCTGCCTCGCCGCTGGCTATCCCCGCTTTAGTCGATCCTGAATACGGCTGCCAGACTCATTCACCTTTCCAACCGCTGTGTCTCCGCCACCGCCCTCTGCCAATCCCTCCACTGGCTTCCGATTGCGCAACGGATCAAATTCAAAATCCTAACGCTGACGTACAAAGCTGTCCACTATACTGCCCCGAACTACATCACTGACCTAATATCCAAGTACCGCCCAGCACGCACACTCCGCTCCTCACAAGACCTCCTTCTCTCTAGTTCCCTGGTCTCCTCCTCCCATGCCCGCCTCCAGGACTTCTCCAGGGTGTCACCCATCCTCTGGAACTCCCTGCCCCAACCCATCAGATTATCACCCACTCTCCTCTCCTTTAGGCGCACCCTGAAAACCCATCTCTTCAGGGAAGCCTACCCCACCCCCTGGTAACTTGCCGACCTCCTCCACTCTTCCTACCACTCCATCCCCCACAGCTATCTCCTCCTGTACCACTATCCCCTCCCTCCTAGATTGTGAGCTCGAAAGAGCAGGGCCCTCAATCCCCTCATGTTTTGCATTGTATTGGTATTCTGTCACATGTTCTGTCCCCCTTTGTAATGTACAGCGCTGAGCGAACTATTGGCGCTTTT